ACAATAAATCAAAAATTAGCTGGGCGTGGTAGCACACGCCTGTAGTTCCAGCTACTTGGAAGGCAGAGGTGGAAGGATCGCCGGAGCCTAGCAGGTCATGGCTGCGGTGGCAGTCTGGGCGACAGAGTGAGACTCCAATTCAAAAAAAAAAAAAAAGATGAACAAAGATGGGAATTATTTACCCAGCGATTCTAGTTCAGAGTGTAGGTGGTCAGAGCAAGTTCAAGAGCAGCCTTCTAGATTTTGTGATTATAGCCCTCCCTTCCCCATTTTTTATAGCTTTCCCAGTTGCTTGGTTTGATGGTAATTTGTAAAAGTGACCTTCCTTTATTTAGTCTTTCCTGTAGTATCTGTCATAGTTATATAGAGCCAATGTCTACCTTCTTCTCATTCCCATTTTGATCGTTCACATACTGCTCTGTTACATTAGGCAGTGATGTAAGCACAGCTTGGAAATGTCCACAGCTGGCTTTGGTAGGGGCGTATTTCCCTGAAGGAGCTGAGATGAGCAGAGCCTTAAGCGTGGCCCGTCTTGTGGTGAGGGGAGAACTCAGTGTGACGCAGATTTCAGAGTTGCCTTGGGGGTTCTCTCTGTTAGGTCAGCTTGCAGGTTCTGCTGTGCTACATTTTGCTGTTAGCGTTGTATAACTGGACCTTTTAAAACTTCCAGACGTGAAATCGAACGCCACAGTTCACTGTTTTGATATTTGAACATTGCACCCAAAGTCGTTTTCTTCCAGTGCGTTTACCAGTCCCTGACCAGCCCTTAGATTTATGATGCCTTCATCTGACTCCTTTGTTTCCTTGGTTTTTCGGTCTCCTTAATCCTCTACTGAGTTTCAGGCATTAGCGGGTATAAGTGCGTCTGTGGTGGCCAGAGCACCTCTGCTGGTGGGCCCTTCCTGCCTTCAGCCCTTCAGCTTTCCCATCTGCAGGATGGGATAAGAATGCACTCAACTCAGGCTGGGCACAGTGGCTCATGCCTGTAATCCCAGCGCTTTGGGAGGCCAAGGCGGGCGGATCGCTTGAGCCCAGGAGTTCTAGACAAGCCTGGGCAACGTAGTGAGACCCTGCCTCTACAGAAAATAAAAAAATACAGCAGGCAGCTGTAGTCCCGGCTCCTCAGGTGCCGAGGTGGTAGGATCGCCTGAGCCAGGAGGTTGAGGCTGCTGTGAGCTGTGATTGTCATAATTGTGCCTCTATACTCCAGCCCGGGTGGCAGAGTGAGACCCTGACTCAAAAAAAAAAAAATGCAGTCAACTCAGTCGAGTAAGTCATATGATGCTTTAAGGGCTGGGAGATGTGGACCTCTGTCATTTCTGCGGGTTCCCCTGTCCTTCATCTAGTCCCACCGCTGACGGAGTTGTTTCTGGCTCTCCTGAGGCTCAACCATGAAGGCGTAGGGTGTCAGGGAGGAACATCAGCCCTGTCAATACGTGAGCCCTTTGAAAGTGAAGTAGCTGCTAGGAAGTAGAACTGTGAGGACAGAAGGAAGCAAACCTTACATTTCCTTTTTTTTTTTGAGTTGGAGTCTCACTCTGTCGCCCAGACTGGAGTGCAGTGGCCGCTCCCGGCCACCGCAGCCTCAACTTGCTGGGCTCCGGCGATCCTTCCGCCTCAGCCTTCCAGGAAGCTGAAACTACAGGTGTGCGCTACCACGCCCGGCTAATTTTTTTGATTTACTGTAGAGATGAGGTCTCGCCAAGTTGCCCAGGCAGGTCTCGAACCCGCGGGCTCAGGCAGTCCACTCACCTCAGCCTCCCAAAGGCGTGGGATTACAGGCTGAGCCACCAAGCCCAGCTCTAGTTGTATGTTTTAATCCTGCAAGGTAAATATTAAATTTGCTTGAAGTTTACCTTTTTAGAAGTTTTCGCCTCTAATATGTTTTTTCCCATAAAGTCCTGGGATTAAAAATGAAGAGCATATTATATTAGCCGATTTAAGGCTTAATTTGAAACTTGGTTTGTATGACTACGAGGAAGCTACTCCATTTGCAAGTGGGCATTGCCTTTGGGCTTTTGGTGGGCTTTGGCTCCCTGTTGTCTGCGCACTGTGTCTCTCCCGTGCTCCCCAGGCCACCCCTCATCCCGGTGAGTGCAGTGTGGAGGCCGGAGGGGACCCCAGAGCTGGAATCAGACGCTTCACCAGGGTCTGCTTTCGCGGCCTTAGGGATTCTGGCCCTCAGCGAGCTGAGTTTCTTGATTGTTCTCCTAGTGCGGTCTCAGGGATGCCGGCCACAGACTGTGTCTATAGTCGGGAGGGTTAGGACGCACCCACTGCACACACTGTGCCCAGACCCCAGCTGGTCACCCTGGGCGGAGAGAGACACGGTGTTGTGGGCGAACGTTAGATGTCACAAACTGCTCCTCAGAGGCCTGTTTCTTCCCTTCTCTTTTAGGACTCTATGGACAGCAGCCTGCCAACCAAGTCATCATTCGTGAGCGGTATCGAGACAACGACAGTGACCTGGCCCTGGGCATGCTGGCGGGAGCGGCCACGGGCATGGCCTTAGGGTCTCTGTTCTGGGTCTTCTAGAGGCCTCGGGATCGAGCTGTGCACAGCTTCTGGCAACCCTGTGTGCAATACTATGGTTTGCAGGGCATTTCTGTTGTGACAAATGTTTTTAACAGTAGTTTTAATCGTTCCTTTGAGAGTAGTGACGTCATCATTGTAACTAACCCACATAAGCACCACCGAGAGGGTGTGGACCCTGCTGTTAGCTACAACGCCGGCTGTGGGGAAACTCGTGGAACACCTTCCTCGAACTTCCCTGTTTTAGAAGGCACCTTTTTCAAAGTGAGGTGTAGAGCTCGAGCGACTGTTTATTTTTGTGCAGTGCCAGTGATGCAGCAGTGTGTGAGTGAGTGAGTATTCTTGGCAAGCAAAGCTACAGCTCTTCTGGTTTAACTTCAGACTCTCATACCCCAGACAGTGGGCTGCATATGACCTCGGCCCCTAGCAGCAGGGCGGGAGCCCGTGACTTCGGCCCCTGGGTCCCTGGTCCCTGGAAAGACTGTCTGCTCAGGGTGATGGGGACAGCCCCCCTTTGAAAAAGGAAGCTTCAGGGCCGGGTGTGATGGCTTACGCCTGTAATCCCAGCACTTGGGAGGCCGAGGTGAAAGGATTGCCTGAGCCCAGGGGTTCGAGACCAGCCCAGGCAACTTGGCGAGACCTCCTCTCTACAATAAATCAAATTAGCCGGGTGTGATGGTGTGTGCCTGTAGTTCCACCTACTCAGGAGGCTGAGACGGAAGGATTGTCTGCACCCAGCGTGCCACTGCCCTCCAGCCTGGGTGACAGAGTGAGACTCCAACTCAAAAATAAAAAGAAAAGGAAGCTTTAGAAATCTGCCTAACCCTCACTGTTTATTCCTGTGTTATTCTTGTGTGTTTGGTAGTGGTTCTTGGAAAACACCCCAAATTCAGAATTGATTTGAGCCTCAGAGTTTTAGCGTTTACCCTTTAAAACTTGGAGAAGGCGAATACTGACAAGCATGTGTGTGGAGGCAGGTTTGCCTTACTCAGAGAATGTTGTTGCAGCGTCTGCTCTGGGTGTTTGTGTTGCCGCCAAAGCCTGCGTAGAGCCTATTTTTTTACTTCTGAGAGTGATCATAGGAGGTGAGGGAGGTGGAACGGGCACTGTGGTTGGAGCGCCCTGGTTTCAGGCCTCTGGGGGTCGCACTGCCCAAGTGTGCACCTCTTGTCCCTCGGAATGAGCTCGGCCCTGTGGTGTCCCCCAGGTGACAGGTGGGACATGAGGGATCTGCTCAAGGTACCACCCAACCTGGCGAGGACCCAGCCTTGTGTTTGTTCCTGACCCCCACGTGGTAGAGAAGTGTGGGGCATTTGTTGAGCCCCCAGATGTGTGAATCTCTGGAAAACCCACAGTCTGCCTTTCTGTTAAATGCTCTTATTTCCAGTATTATGAGGTGTGCGTTTCAAACAGCATTTCTGTAATTTCCCATTTGAAAGCTCCCGGTGCTTCCGGTTTTCTGTCCTGCATGCTTTCAACGGAGCACTCACAAGGGCAGACTGGCAGGGTGAGTGTCCTTGCCCCACACTCCGTGTGGCCCTGTTTCCCCTCAGGTGCCCCCCAGGTAGCACCGACTGCTGCTCTTTTGCCTGGCTGGGACACACGTGTGTCTGGCTTTGCTGCTCAACCGGCAAACTCTGCTCTGAGCCAGCTTACACAGGACTTCATGGGAAGCCAGATGCCAGGTGAGCTGCGTGACGACCGCAGGTTGGCTTGTCTTGCTGGTCCTCCAGGACTTGTTGACACAGGAGTGTCTGTTTCCACCTGGAAGGAGGTGTGCTTACCTGTCATCTTGGTAGATGCAACGTGCGACAGCACTGGTGTCGGTGGCTTTAAATGTTGCGTTGAGGTCTTAGGTCCTGGGTAGTAAGAACAGCTTGGCTCAGATGGGGTCGTTATTAAGGCCGTACGTTTTCTTCCCTTACAAACTGCTCGCGGTTTTCGTGTTGCATTGACTGTTAATTTTGAACTTGGAGTGACGAGGTGGGAATCACGGGAACCACAGAGGACTGAGTTTTGCCGCTGAAGTGCTCTTGAAGCGGGAGCCTCCCTGTGCTCTCCTGTCTACTCCTGGGGAAGACAGAACCGGGAGAGGTGTGGACTGAAGCTGGGTTCGTGTGTTCCCCACTTCCCCGTCCCCGTCCCCGTCCCCCGTGGGCCAGCCTCATTCGGCAGCCACAGTTGAGCCTGGAAATTCTGTCTCTAGTGACCTGATGCTGGCATGCAATGCATATTGGGGACAGAGCGGGGCTCAGAGGTTGCATTTCTTTGGCCGCAGCTCCCACAGAGCCAGCCTTTTGAGAGCCGCAGTTCTCAGCGTGTCCATTGATGACAGTGCCACACACTTTGGTCACCCCCAGCCAGGAAACGTGTGAGTTGGAAGAAACTTGGTGCTCAGGTTTGAGGGAGCGTTTTGCTTCCACGTGTACTTTTAAGTAGTGATCAGTACCTGAAAGAAGTTGGCCGTTGCCGTCATCCGTATGTGGATCTGATAGATCCTTTCGCTCTCTTCGTTCCTTGAGTTAGCTTCAGGGCCGGGGACGTTGAAGAGGAAAGAGAGGACCGTGGAGGTCCCCGCTCGTGCACGGTCCAGACCTCGCCCGTCTTGGCCGTCACGACCCAGGGTGGCCCCTGGGCAAGAAGAAGGCCCTGCAGCGGAGACGGGGTGACCAAGTGTATTTCCGCCCTCGCGTTTCGATCCTGTGTGGTTGCGGTTTGTCTCCAGTTGATGCAGACTCAAGGCACGGAATGCAGCTCCACCTCCTCCCCAGAGTCGATCGTTTCTGTGGTGCTTTCCTGTCTCTAGAGTTCTCTTGTGTCACAAGACCTCCTTACCCCTGTGTACGCACACTGTATGTTTATAAATGAAGATGCCGGTACATTAAATGGTTGTTCACCTTGAAGCATGCTTCGTTGTGACTTCTGTTGTCTTTTAAAAACTGGTTTGAAGTAACACACTCAGCTTTTTCAACTGTCAAGCATCTTAAGGATGCCATTTATTGAGGACCTACCAAGTGCTAGAACATATTGTCATATCAGGGAAAAAAACACTACATTCCTTTTCTTTCTTTCTTTTTTAAAAGAATTTATTGCAGAGACGAGGTCTTGCCATGTTGGTCAGGCTGGTCTCAAACCCCTGGGCTCAGGCAGTCCTCTCACCTCTGCCTCCCAAAGTGCTGGGATGACAGGCTTGAGCCACTGTGTCTGGCACACTACTGAGTTTTTAAGGCCCTGTAGATCTTTTAAAAATGTGATTTATATCAATATTTATCTTAGTAGAAAACAGAGAAATTAAAAAATGATAAACCTATTCTGTAGTGACACTTAAAACTGAATTTATAAAAAATTATTTTCAAAACAAAATCAGGCGTGACATTGTTTGCACATTAAAAATTTTCTTTAGAGTTTGGATCAGCAGGAGAGAGCTGGATTCTCACATCTGTATTCCCTCTGTTGTTATTTCACCTGTGAAGGAAATAGAGCCTCACACACAGTTGTACAGTTGGGAAAGGGCGACCTGGGCGACCGGAAAGGTCTTGGGCAACCTCGGGATCTCTGGATCATGCCTGGAGCACTGCTGGTGTATGTTGTCCTACACCATGTTTTCCCCCTTCATATAGCTGAGTATTTCCATATTGGCTCGTAATGAGCTGCCTCATTGGTGTGTCCCATAGACTACCAAAACTGCCCAGAGACCTTTGGACTTTTGCTGTCCTGACAGTGCTAGAAAGTGCAAAAGTTGCCCCTCCCTGCGTGGGGACTTGAAGGTGGCATGAAACCAGCGGGTGTCAGAGGGGCCCTGCCACGAAGCCCAAAGCCCACGTTAGTCTGCCCCTCCGGGGTCACAGCAGGTCGTGAAAGTGGGTGTCAGATACCGGCTACTCAGGCTGGCCGCTGCCAGCTGCGGGGTCTTGCGCCAGTCTCGGTCCGCGTGGGCCCACAGGGGATGAGAGACTTCCACGCCCAGGCCGGAGGCCGCCTCCGTCTCTGCCTCGCAAGCTGCTGGAAGCGAGACAGCGAAGTCACGCCTGTCCTCTGCTCGCAAGTGGCTCCTCCTCCAGCGGCCAGACCTTGGTCACGGGCCGGGCTCCGCCAGGCTGAGGTTGGTTTGGTCGCCAGCTGTCTTGACCTCTCAGCAGAAGTCTGGTTGAGGTTAACTTTCACTTGCACAGTGTTTCCTGTAGTAAAGTCAGTGGTTGCAAATGACATGCAGATGGTTGGTTCACACAACACAGATGTCATTTGGCCACACAGGTTTATTGTTAAGTCATCTCTTTCCCTACTTCACAAGTGATTTGGACCAGCAAGGAAGAGAATCATGGCATTCAGTTGTCCTTTGACGCAGTGAGTACTTACAGGCAACCTGAGAGGTACTGAGCCTGACCGCACTCTTGCTGCAGGTTATTCCCACTCCCCTTTCCTGTGAGAGGGTTAGAAATCCTCACCTGTTGCCTTACCCCAGGGGACAGGTGTCCCCCCTCACCCCAGAGGACAGGCATTACCCCTTGCCCCTGAAGACAGATGGCCCCGCTCACCCCTGAGGACAGGTTCCCCCCATCCCCAAAGGAGAGACGTCCCCCATGGCCCCCAGAGAAGGCTTCCCTCACTGTGGGTGTGGTGTGCCTGGGGGGGGAGGGGTTGAGCCAGCCACATGTGACCAGGTGATCCAGGAAATGCAGGGCAGGGTTCTGCAGCTCTCCTGTCCAACCCCCACCCTTCCTTGAGAGCCACACCCTCGCCTGTGGTCCCGGAGGAAACCCGTGTTGCAGAGCCATCATGGCTGCCTCTCAGGCCCCACGTCGTGGAGAGCAGGAAAAAAAGTGTTCGTCGTGCAGCAGAGTGAGCAGGGTGAGTGGCATCAGGTGCAGGCCTTGTGCCTGGTGGTGGCACAGTGACTGCACCCCTGAGTCTTGACTCAGATGGTGGGGTCCACACAGTACATGCCACAGAGGGGCGCTGGGGTGGATGCTCACCTGAGCCTCCTCCGAGAGGCTGGGGTGGCGATGCCACCCACTGGGCTGGTGGAGCACTCGGTGCTAGCTATGCCGGGGGTGGGGCACAGCCCAGCACGCTGGGCACCCAGCGTGTTACACCCTCCTTTGTTCCCCTTTTTCTAAAC